CAGCCACAACAGTGTGAATTCCTCAGGGAGGTGTCAGTCTCATCCTCTTGTTCCTCCCACGCGGTTCCGGCGAGCTAAGAAAATGTTTATCTCCCTAAGCTTGGCCTTCATAATTCCATTCCATCACACTATGCCACATTTCAGTGGAGAAGTGAAACTTAATATTCAAGAAGCCCTGACTACAGTGAGATGTGAGAAGTTGGAACTACACATGTATTTGTTTCTAAGCAAAGGCTGAAGAATAACGCTTCCTAATGTTAACAACTCTGTGTTCTACAGAAATTTTGGGGAAATGTGTGTTTTATAGCCAAATAATTTCTGTACAGCTTAGAACTCAGTTATGATCACAGAGAGTGTAAACTGGGATCAAAACTGTCAAAAATTGATGAGACTTATTTAATGATGACAAGTGAATAAGTTAGAGGCTCAACTGCCTATGATAATTGTCACTAGCCACCCAAGTTATAATATTTTATTGGTCCATGAAAGTCTTTTTTAGTCTGGATGACCAAGATGTTATAAAATGTAATTGTCTGTGCTTGTGAAGTTTTAGGTAAGAAGACTGGTTATAAGCTAATTATTTGTCTGTTGAACCAAGTGCAGGACGTTTAATTGTGTTAAGTTTGAAGGCATACTTCCAATTTCAAAAGACTTTTGGATAAATATTGCAGGCTGTGTTCAATATTGCCTCTCTCCATGCTTCTAAATTAATGGGGCACTATAGCAAAGTCAGAAAAGTTGACAAAACAAGCTCATATATTGATATTTATGTTTTGCTGCTAGTCAACAGCACAATGTAGTTCTCATTTATGGAAGAAGAGTTTTTAGTATAATGTATAATGCGATAGACACAACTGCAGTGATCACAAGTGCACATGTGGCTTTTAAGAGGAACACCTTCATAAGATGTATTGGAGGAGTTCCATCCATGTGGAGTAGTTGTGTGAAAGTGTGGAAGCAAAGAAAAAAAAAATTTCCCTGACCTATTATTTATAAAATTGTAATTTTTTTGTAAAAGTGTAGCATAAACATGCCTTGCAAAGGGCTGCCCATCTATTTCCTGAATTTCATTGCACTAAATTCCCAAATATCCCCTATTCTCAGTTTCATTCCATATTAGTTGTCATTCTTTTCTGTGCTTGTATTTGCTAATTCATTTCCAGTGCAAAGTAAGACTATTGTTTCTTGGCTTTTGAACTTGTG